ATAATTCATACTAGGTAGCTACAATGCGTAATACTAAATTGCATGGGAAAGAACACTTGCTGCATTATTCCATGGTCAAGCTATGGGAACTGTAGTGGCCAGCACATCGATCTACTCTATTTTTATCATTGGATTTTCGACTTTATATCTTCATGGTAGAGTTGAAAATCTAATAGATATTTGGCAGAAGACAGCAGGTTGACCTGCCCACTGTACTAGCAAGGGAGCCGTTTAATATTTAATGCAGCATTGTATAGTGATTACAGACTTGCTTGCAGTTGGATATAATGAAAGAGAAACGACTGGTTTAATGTATTTCACAAGGTCTTCTTGTAAAATAGACTGATTTTGATATAATTTTATGATATTCTTGTTTCTTGGATGTTAATATTAAGTATGCATATTTATAACAAGGTTTTTTTTAGGTTGCAATAATTATTCTTCATCGGGGATCGCGAAAAGATTTTCGGCCACGGAGGGCGAGCACAGCGGGTAACTCGCCGCCCGACTAGAACCAGACCCGAGCGTACGGCCCCGAGAATTCCGCGCGCGCCTCAATGACCCATCAGACCACTACAGATGGGGCCAAGTAGGCCGATACGGAGCCGCGGAGGACTTAACGGGTTGCCGGGGCTCCGGCTCGAAGTGCAGGAGTAGGAACGGGATGATTTTTAGTCAGTAAAAGTCTGACACTCCCTCCCGCCTCACCCAAGCGGAAGAAGTCATTCGATGATTTTCCCCTCTTAAAAAAAAAGGTAGGGCAGATACAGAGCCGCGGAGGCCTTAACGGTTCGAAGTGCAGAAGTAGAAGGATATAAATATGTAATTATCTAACAGTGCAGTAGTTCCGCGACTCTATTACTATAGCATTAAGTAGCTATATTACTTTATCACTAAGGGGCTATTTAGCCTTCTACATGACTAATTTTTATTTTAATGTCCGTCTGGTAGATTATTTTAATTCATTAAACACGTACTTTTTATTTTCTTACAGAAACGAATACTTTCGACGATATATTGATTTGAAATGTCGCGTGACGTCACTTCTATGTACATTTTATACGTAGAAATGACGTTTTAGCCCCCACTCCTAAACTTTGATTCTTATTATATAAGTATTGTTTTATTGTACGACAAAATAAAAAAATACGTGTCTAATATTTTTTTCATTGCCTAACTGACGGACTAATTAGTTTTTTAATTTACATACCGTGTCATTATCCCTATTATCTCCAGACACAAAAATCATACCATGAAAACACTCCATGATGTAAAATAAACAAAGACACAAACGTAACTACTTTCGACTTTACAAATTATAAGTAAGTATAGTACGGATGTATGTATATGTGTTGTTAAGATTTCTCCAGTGGGCAGTGTAGCGGGCTTAGATTACATGCATTTTTAAAAGGGCTCTCATCAAGGCCCCTATCCCGACCGTCTTAGATAATTTTATTGATTCCTTCACGGCTGGAACTCTAAATATTTGAAATGGCAGGGTAATAAAATTGAAACTTTGATTATTTAAAGGATTGAAGAGAAAGGAAAGAAGTCATTGTTTTAATGTTTATGCAGGATGACTGAAAGAAACAACATGTTTATCAACAGTCCGTGACAACCCATTGCTTTTATATTTGATTGCTTGCTTATATGGGAAAAATCATCCATTGACTTCTCCCGCCCAGGTGAGGCGAGAGCGAGTGTCAGACTCTTACTGACTAAAAATCATCCCGTTCCTACTCCTGCACTTCGAGCCGGAGCCCCGGCAACCCGCTAAGTTCTCCACGGCTCCGTATCTGCCTGGGCCTCATCCGTGGTGGTCTGATGGCTCTTTGAGGCGCGCGCGAAACGCGACGCGCCGTACGCTCGGATCTGGTTCTTCGGGCAAGTTACCCGTGCTAGCCGTCCGCAGGCCCGTGCTTACGATGGCCGGCGATAGTCTCGCGATCCCCGAAGCCTGTGATGACTCTCGCGAGAAGAATTTTTAAAAAACGCAGTAATACTTTGCCCGACACGGGAATCGAACCCGAGGCTCCTTGCCCGGCAGTCGCACTTGCAATCGGCCGACGAGCCAGTCTTTTCTTGTAAACTTTAATAACATTACTAATACAAAATGAGTTGCACTCCCCCTCTGCTTACCCTAATTCATAAATTTAATATGACGCAAAATGGTTGACTGTTTCTAAAGACTCCTTGGGGATCATTATAGTTTCAAGCAGCAATCAAAGTCATTAGATGTGGCAAGGAGGTAGCCATTGCTTTGAGATCGCAAATAATTAGAAAACAGATTATTTAAGACTGTCTCCTGCCAGCTCCGTCACGGTTATGGGGTAAAAAGATAGGCCTATGTTTTATTTCAGACTATAATCTATCTCTGTGTTAAATTTCATGTAAATCCATTCAGCAGTTTTTGCGGAAAAACTTAATGAACAGTGTAAAAATTAAAAATTTAAACTTAACAATTGTGATTGAACATGATGTCATTTTTTGTTTGATAAGCGAATTTTTTGTTTTTTTTTTTGTAATATCTTGTTCTTTTATAATGGATGTCGTAACAGCCCTTAACTCGTTGAGTACCGTCATTATAGACACAATTATAGAACAATTTTTTTTTTTTTTAAGGGGGGAAAATCATCGAATGACTGCCCCCGCCTGGGTGAGGCGGGAGGGAGTGTCAGACTCTTACTGACTAAAAACCACCCCGTTCCTTCTCCTGCACGTCGAGCCGGAGCCCCGGTTACCCGTTAGGTTCTCCGCGACAATTATAGAACAATAGGTTGCGGTCACCGGTGTCCTCGCGGTGTTTGACAGTTTAAAGGCTACACTATAGAGTGTTAAAATATGTTAAAAAACCTATCATGTATTTTGGTGTATGCTTTGTTGGTTGTCCTTAAATAAATAAATAAATAAATAAACGTAGGGACACTGTTGTTATAGACAGTTCAGTTCACAGTCAATGCAATGGCTCGCCGTCTGACTAGAACCAGACCCGAGCGTACCGCGCGCCTCAAAGAGCCATCACACGGAGGTCTTAACAGGTTACCGGGGCTCCGGCTCGAAGGGCAGGAATAGGAACAGGGTGGTTTACAGTCAGTAAGAGTCTGACACTCCCTCCCGCATCACCCAGGCGGGAGAAGTCATTGGCTGATTTCCCCCCTTAAAAAAGTCTATGCAGTGCCAGTGTGGCAGTCGTCTGAAAACGTCTTGTCTTATAAATGGTACTTAGCCTACAAAATAGCACTTTGCACAATATTATCTATAGATAGCCTACAAATGAGTAGGCAATTTGTGTAATGCGTCAAGCGCGTCTTTGCATTGTTCTCACATATACGTACAATATTAGACATTGTATCAGACACATTGTATAACATACTTTTTTTAAAAAGAGTAACGAATAGAGTTTCTTGCTCGTTCTTCTCCATTCGAATCTATATTTTGGAATGAGCACCTAGCTTCACCTAGCTTCACCGACGGACTGACTGACAGATTATTATTTATTTTGTATTTGTTGACGTTTCAAAAGTACCAAATTATGGATTGATTGAAATAAATGCTTTGACTTTAACTTTGACTTTGATATCTACATTAAAATAGCTACATACGAGGATGATTTCGACAATCGGCATTTCCTGGTTATTCTGAGAACAATCTGTTTACATACCTACCTACCTATTTATCTATCTCTTCATCATTCGATTTATTTAGCTACGGTTTTAAATTGCAACATACTCAGTAGTTATACGAAAAATATTTTGCGTAGGTATATTAATTCGGTTAAAACAGTACATTTGGTTTGAGTACCCTTTGAGTACCGTCATTATAGACACAATTAAATAACATTAGGTTGCGGTCACCGGTGTCCTCGCGGTTTTAGACAGTTTAAAAATATTAAATTTTATTATAATTGTTTAAAACAATACCTTTTCTACAGTCAGGCAAAAACCACGCACAGTTAAGATAAATTTACACCTGGACACTGGAAGCTAAGTCTGTCCTCGCTCTTCTGTGTCAATAGCTGACAGCATTCGGTAGACAACCTTCTTCCATGTTCATACTTCGCTTCTTTCACCTCAAGAGCTTCTCTTTGCATTTGATATGTATCTGAGATATTTTTCTTGGTAATTGGAATATGTATCAGAGACATTGTAGAACATACCTTTTTAAAAAAGAGTAACGAATGGAGTTTTTTACTCGTTCTTCTCCATTCGAATCTACATTTTGATTCAAAAATGTAGCTTGGTGTGAAGTGTGAAGCACCTAGCTTCACTGACCGACTGACTGACAGACTATTATTTATTTTGTATTTGTTGACGTTTTAAAAGTACCAAAATATGGTTTAACTCGTCGAGTACCGTCATTATAGACACAATTATAGAACAATAGGTTGCGGTCACCGGTGACCGCTTGGTATGTGACAGTTTAATTGAAATAAATGCTTTGACTTTATATTAACGATTTCTTTATATAGAAATAATATTCGGTAATATTCTTACATAAATTCATTTTTGCAATAATCTGGTATTTAAGTAACAAGTTACAAAAAAATTGAATATCTATTAAAAGTACGTAAAAGATCTAAAAATATGAAACACCATTTTTTATGTTACCGCCAAATAAACACGTATAGTCTATGGTAAGGTGTAGAGATGTCAAGAAGAAAATTGCTATTGTTAATAAGGAAATACGTAAAAAAATGTTAAGTTGATTCATTATTATTTATTACACAAGGTAGACAAAACGTTGTTCATAAATTGGTTTCTTATTTAAATAGGTAACAAACAATAAAATTAGTAGTGTTAGGCAGGACATAAAAAGAAAACATAGCATTTCGTAAATAAAAAAGATTAACAAAATAAATAAGTTAATAAAAACAACATGCATAACAAAAAAAAACCAAAGGAAATATTCAACATCCACCCTGATTCATGATTTTAATCAAAAAGTATTAATTTCCTTAACAAAATCAATAATTAAAACAATTAATTAAAACTATTACTTACCTACGTTATGTTTTCACTGTCACAGAAAACATTAGAACCATCACTTTATTTTTAAAATAGGACAAAACACAGATTCGAATATCGAACGCGAAAAATAAAACTATAAAAATATTACAATGTAGTACCTACGTCCTTCTTGAATCCCGCACTCGGCGTAACAAGCGTTCAATTTCAAAACGTTCACATAAATAATAAATACTACAACGAAAACTAAACAAAACGATTTATTTCAACAATTTTATTCATCGAATAATGCTCCAATTTTTTTACCGCGATATTTTTTATGCGTTTATCACTAAAAATAGATAAATTGCCGCGTCACTCGCGTTCGTTTCGGCCCGTGGTCGGGCGGGTAGTGTTGAGTATGACATACAAGAGGCATGACATTTGTCCCGTACAAGACTCACAAATGTAAGAGCGGCTCAAATTTTTTACATGTACTACTTCAAATTTTATGTCGCGTTCGTCGCGTATGAGTTTGCGCTAAGAGTGAAAGAGAACGCGTCCGCCCGCGTCGACGTCGTGTCTCGCTTCATCGCTTCAATAAAGTACTGCGCTTGCGTCAAACCGCCTCGTCGTCACGTTGGTACCCCTTTAGCAGTGCCAGCCAGTGCGAGCATTAGGTAGTCAGATTTATAATCTGTTACGGAATAAGAAGGCGGCAAAACAAAATTGTAAGTCTGATTTAAACGAATTTTATAATTATATTTTAATAATGTCTAGTATTAATGATTATATTAACATTTTGTTTGGATGTCTGTGTGTTTGTGTGTTATTTCAATATTATTAATGATTCTTTTTTGAAGTTTAAACCGGCCATTACAAATTGTAGTTTACCATCTGCATAGCAAAATGTAATGGCCGGAATAAACTTAAAAAAACTTTGTCTAACGAGACTGCGTGTTTTCACTTGGATTCTATTTATACCTATTAATTGCAAATTGGTCTCAAAAGCTAGAAATTCAAATTAGTTAAGTACTTTGACATTTTAAATGATTAAATTAGGTACTTTACGGATAAAAGTTTTATGCATAGAATTAGATTTAAATACGTCTCCAATTGCTAAGTCTCTAAAGACGTCAGTCGCAACTCGCAACAGTCGAGGTCGCGGCGGCGCGGCGCGGCCGCGGCCGCGGCAGCGGGTCGCGGTGGCACCAGCTCGGCAGGGTTTGCCGCAGCGCGATATTCTTCAATTATTATATGTATTTATTTATGTGATGTGACTAAGTTGCAAATCCAAACAAAATACTCATTTTAAACTCATGTTTTTATTATTTATGTGCAAGTACTTACCTAATACAAATTATACTCGTTAACGATTGTTTTATGTTCTTTTTTCTTTTGTTTTATGCATGAATAGTAACTATGTCTGGTGATAGAAAATCCTCTAAAGCATGGCAGTTTTTCACTGATCTCCAGAATGAAAAGGCTAAATGCAATTTCTGTCAAAAAGAGTTTTCATATAAAGGTGGCGGTGCTTATAATTTGACTAGACATACAAAAAGTAAACATCCGCAAGCATTTGCAGCGATACAGGAATGTCAAATTGAAATTGAAGCTTCTGCCGCAACACATATTCAGCTTTTGCCTAGTACTTCCACCGATCCAACTGCGATATGTATACCTATTGCTTCTACATCTACATCTACATCATCAACTACTATCATACCTGCAACATCCGAACCATCCATTCCTCAAAGTTCAGATATATTCAAGTTTAAAACTGCAGCCGCTAACACCAAACTAACCCAGTACTTCTCTAAGCCGCTTTCTGCTAAAAAAACTGACCAATTAAACAAAACGCTAGTGAAGCTATTTGTAAAAAATTATTTAGCCTTTCAGTTGATCGAGTCTCCTGAATTGAAAGAGTTCATAAAAGAACTTAACCCCGGCTACCAATTACCTAGTCGTAAGACATTGTCTAACGCCTTAATGACAAATGTGTATCTCCAAATAAAGGAAAAAGTAAAGATTGAGTTAAGCCAAGCCATGTATGTCTGCATAACGACCGATGGTTGGACATCCAAGCCCAACGAAAATTATTTAGCGGTGACGGTTCATTTTTTTAATAATAATGCAGAATTTAAATCCTTTTTACTAGAGTGCATCCAATTTAATGATAGACATACGGCCGATAACTTAGCTCAAGAGTTAAGAAGAATTGCAAGTGATTGGGAAATAACTAACAAAATTGTCGCAGCCACAAGCGATAACGCGAACAATATTAAAGCTGCAATAAAAATAAATAGCTGGAAACAAATACCTTGTTTCGCCCATACACTCAATTTAATAGTGCAGACAGCTTTAAAACAAATAAAAATCACTACAACTAAAGTAAAACAAATCGTCGAAGTATTCAAACGAAGTCCACTTGCCTCTGAAAGGCTTAAAAATATGCAAAAGAAGTTAGAGGAACCCGTTTTAAAATTAAAACAGGATGTTCCCACACGCTGGAACTCCACTTGCGAAATGTTCGAAAGAATATTAAAAACAAAAAATAGCGTTATGTCTACACTTGCGATCGACTATCCAGATGTAGACAACATTACGTCTGATGATATTCAGATAATAGAATCTGCATCAGAAATTCTATCATTTTTTAAAGACGTAACGGAAGAAATGAGCTCGGAAAGAAACGTTACGATTTCAGAAGTACCTATGGTTTTTTTTTGATAGTAAACTGCATGATTATATAAATAAAATAATTAACTAGCATAGTCAATTGTAGGTAGTTATTGTAGTGTAGCTATAGTGATGATTTTCTTGTAAGTACCTACTTTAGTGATTCATTTTATTTAAGTAACTAATTGATTTTATTATATTTTCAGGTTATATTAATATCAAATGCTCTTAAAAAGAAATGTACTAACTTTTTAATGATGACACGTCCAGCGACAGTGACCCAAATGACGGAGGTTCTCATTCACGAGATAAATAGTCGATTTGCCGGCGTTGAAGAAAACAATATTTTAGCTGAGAGCACAATTCTTGACCCGCGGTTTAAAAAATATGGATTTACAAACGAATTTGCATATGGTAGGGCATGTGCAAATTTAAAGTCCCAAGCCGGGCGAATCGTCATTGATGCCCAACATCCTACCATACCGGAGCCTACAAATTCATCTCCGCCATCTAAACGTAAGCGCAGTATTTGGGATGAATTTGATGAACAGGTGGGTGACAATATTTTTAGGCGAAATTCGAAAAAGCATTGACATGGGTGGCTCGCACCCGCCTCTATCCATAGCAGAGTACAGACGTGGTTCACCTTGAAGCCCATCCGTGTCAGTCCTTCGAATTATAAAATATTATTCATTTATAAATAAATAACAACAAAATTTCTTAAATTTATAGGTAGGTGACATTTTGAAGAACATCAACCCGACAGCAGGAGGTATCATAGAGGTAGACAAATACTTAGAAGAGCCATTGCTACCTAGGTCCCAAGACCCTGCGAAGTGGTGGTTCTCCAAAAAGGAGGCTTATCCGAGGCTCTACAAATTATTTTTAAAAAGGCTATGCATAGTAGCCACCTCTGTACCCTCGGAGCGCATTTTTTCCAAGGCTGGCCAGGTGATTGTGGATCGGCGCAATAGGTTAAGCGGAAAAAAGGTGTCGCAAATTTTATTTTTAAATTTTAATATGTAATTTTTATTTTTATTTTTAATATACTCTTTTATTATGATCAAATAGTTTTATTCACGAATTTCGAAAAATAATATAACAAATAACTATGTCGAGGTAGTGCTTTTAGTTGCATGCTGATAGACACATATATACATGTAACATTAAGAGTACAAACAGTTAAATACAAGTGACAAAATGTTGTCAATTACTTTTTCCAATTGTGTTGAGTTGTAAGTAATATATCAGTCACACGTTTGTTAGGTACATTTAAACACAGCAGTACAGACTACAGAGTACGAGCAAAATGACATTGACACAGTCGTAACTTCAAATGTATCGCTATGCTTCAAACCGTCCTTCGCCTCGCCTCATTTGAAGTGGGACATTGTACTGGCTCAGGACAGAAAAGAGGCTACTCTTACAAACTCTTTTTCAAGTCGTGTCCTACTCAACACTACGGGCGGGTACTGGCCCGGAGTTGCCAGATGCATAATTAATTGTTACCAAGGTGTATCGACTGGGTATTTTGGAAATGAGGTGTCTTAAAATGTTTCTCTTGTGGTGTATTATCTTGAATGGGAGGATGCTTAGCTGGCGGAGTTATGGACTTACTAATAATGAAAAAATATGAAGATCATAGGTTTTGATTTGACAAAACTCACAGTAAAACATATCTTGTTATTATGTATTTGGATGCAGGTCGCTTCCAACCAGTCTATCTGGAAGTCATTGGGTGAGGCCTATGTTCAGCAGTGGACGTCCTATGGCTGTTATGATGATGATGAAATATGTAGTGTTTATTATGTTAAAAGTTAACGCTATCTCTTTTCATATGCAAGTTTTCTTGCGGTTTTATTTTAAAATAAATTGTTGTAAAACAAATACTTACATAATAATGTTAACATTATTAATCGTTTTAATTTTAAGTCTTTTGACTTCGGTAGCTAGTTTTATCAGCTTAAAAATATATGTAAGTAGGTGCCTACTGATGCTGAATGGTTATAATTTGGATTTCATAACATTAGGCACAATTCTGGACTACATGACTGATAGATACTAACAACTAAGAATTTTGAAAAAACTGACATACAAGTTCACATACACAATGACATCCAGACCCGAAACAACAATTTGTGGATCACACAAAGTGTTGTTCCGTGCGGGAATCGAACCCGCGACACGTTGCACGGTAGCCGGTTGCCCAGCCCCCGCACCAACCGTGCAGTCATATTATATGTCATAGTCATTTTATATGTTCAAAAAACTATTATTGACAATACTAAAATAAAAACAAAATACCTATTGTAAAATACGATAAATACTTACCTATAATCTCATTTTTCCATAATTCATAGATAGATCCATACTTACAATCTTTCAATATGCATATACATTTTGAAGGAATTTCCACGTATCAGGGAAAAGTTTTCACACTGGCAACACAGAAGCTGCTCCTCGCCGCCATTAACGTTATCGATGTCCCACAGATTATAGCTCAGAACAGGGATACTTGCGTTTAGTTTTCGCATCAAAATCATTTCAATAATAAAAAAATCGTATCAGATTTTTAGTATATTTGGTTTATTTCGTTATACCTCCTAGTGGTATAGTATTAGTTAAATGTTTTCTTAGTTATATAAGTAGGTATCAGACTAAAGGTCGCAAGAGTACGGATAAAATAAATTTTAGATGCCATGCTATTGCTGCAGCAGGCACTGAATTATGGAAAATAGGAAATTCGCCCAATACATTGTCAGGTCCAACTTGTATTGTGTATTATGTGAACATCTTGACCAATACGATAGTTGCCAGGGAATGAAAATTAAAAATCTAATTAGTCCGTCAGTTAGATAACGAAAAAATATTAGACACGTATTTTTATATTTTCTCGTATAAAGTTACAATACTTAGATAAAATGGAGTTAAGTTTAGGAGTGGAAGGTGGTGACAATGACAAGGTACAAAATATAGCACGTTGTGACGGTACACGATATTTCAAATCAATATATCGTCGAAAGTATTTAATTTTGTGAGAAAAGAAAAAATACGTATCTAATGTTTTAAATTAATCTACCAGACGGACATTAAAATAAAATTTAGGGATACTACCCTATTATTTTACTTGTATTTTTACGCTGATGCCATTTCAATGATATTTTTTATCTGTACAACTGTCAACCTAGAGAGGAATTTAAAAATAACACACCAAACGAAATAAAATGCAAAAATAAAATCTTTATTAAATAATTTTATAGGAATGCTAACATCGATGATCACGGCGCATTGTTTTTCGAAAATTACGATTGTCCGTCCTGGGAAAATTCGAAAATGACATTTGAGAAAAAAATCGAGTTGGCGCCCAACATGGGTCTAAATTTTATCGTAGCTAAAAATATTCACAAGCTTATTACAATAATTATAGTATTATATATTAAAATATGTTTTTAAATATATAGTTATAATAAAGGAATATAATTTAAATAATAATATAGCATTGTTTATAATAGGGTAGATGAGTAATTTTTATTTTAATGTCCGTCTGGTAGATTATTTTAAATCATTAGACACGTATTTTTTATTTTCTTACAGAAACGAATACTTTCGAAGATATATTGATTTCAAATGTCGCGTGACGTCACTTCTGTGTACATTTTATACGCAGAAATGACGTTTTAGCCCTCACTCCCAAACTTTGATTCGTTATATTTAAGTATCATTTTATTAGACAACAAAATAAAAAAAAATACGTGTCTAATATTTTTTTCATTATCTGACGGACATCACCTATTTTCATACCCTGTCATCATCCCTATTATAAAACGATTGAACCAATTTTGATGCGATTTTCTACATTAATTTGTATTTTTGTAACAGAATATTACAGGTATAATGTTATTCCATTCATGAGGTAGACAGAAGCGTAGCTAACGCCGGAATACTAAAAGGCTACTCGATTTTAAATTATACTTAAATATTGTTGTAATAAAACGAAGTGCGAGAGGTTGCCACCTGGCGCATAATAATGTAAAACTTTCTACTAGATCGATGACCACATAATACTTGTACGGGCTTCACGGTTGATTCTTATTTTCATTTGTATTTAAATATAGCAATATTCGTGCAATACGGCTACGGCCTTTTTATTCATAACTCTTCAAATATCTCTGTCATTTTACGAAGAATTTGTGGAGACAGAACTATAGTTAAACGCAGCGCAGTACCAGCGCGACAGCCGGGCGCGTCGTGGGTTGCGAGATACTGCCTCTAGCATGGCTTGAAACTAGTCGAGTTCTTCGTCAAATAATTACGAAGGTAAGCCGAGAAATATAACAATTAATAAGTATACTTAAGGGCGACTTAAAAATTGAGTAACGTTTGAGTATTTCGACATAGGTATGCTGTAATTAATGCTGTAGAATATCAGATATCAGATACAATAGGGGTCTAACCAACCAGCTATCAAATTCAATACTTTTTTAAATGTCAAAACTATAATTTTTTTTTTCGACATTTTCTTCTTCGACACTGGCAGTATAGTCGACAACATCGTATTGGGTACTTGCCGACTAGTCAAGTTCAATACTTTTTTCGATCTGTCAAAAACGAGAGTTTTATTTTGTACGAGATCGTGTATTGTGACGTCACAATTTAATAGCGTCAAACAGAATACTTATTTCATAAAAAATTGCGGAAAAAATACTAAAATTAAGTTGATCATAAAGTCAATTAATTAAAGTATGATTATTTTTAAATATTTTATCGTATTGAACACTCGAAATAATTTATTTTTGATTAAGACAAGTATGTACCCAATTGTATAATAGATAGTGAGATAATATTTTTTCTTCGACACTGGCTGTATAGTCGACAATATCGTATTGGAGACTCGGTTGCCAAAGAGGAAAAAAAACTTTTAATATTTGAAAAAAAAAGTAATAGACTTTGACTAGCTGATTTAAACATCAAAATTCCAAACTACATACGATTGGTTAACATGCAAAATAAAATTCCAAATATCTTTACAATAATACTTATATTTCACAAAATAGGTACTTATTTAAATATTAACATTATTATTTTAGGAATACGTAACGTATTAAGAATAAACTGACCACATTTCAGATATTTTTTTTTGTTTTCCTTTTTTATGGGAAGCCGGTAAGCGAGCAGACGGATCACCTGATGGTAAGCGATTGGCGTCGCCCATGGACACTTATATAGAATACGCATAACTGTCACTTTCATACAAATACCAATCTAAAAAACCAATCCGCCCTCCCTTATATGGATTGAAAAAAAAGATCAGGATTGCGATTCATTGATCGGTTATCGAAATACTAAAAGTAGGAAATGGATTCAAATATCAATCTCGATCCGCAAATTAGAGATTAGAATTGAATATAGAAAGCGGCCGTTAGAGGCGTCCATGGGCGACGCCGGTGTATTACAAGTGTTGTAGTACAGGTGTATTTTCAAGACCTTTTAAGGACTAGGAATTTGATGATTGTTTGGGATTCAGTTATTGGAGAGATTTAGGTAGGGGTAATTGGGCCTCCGGTAACCTCACTCACGACGAAACACAACGCAAGCATTGTTTCACGTCGGTTTTCTTCTCGGCTGTGGTATCACTCCGGTCAAGCCGGCCCATTCGTGCCGAAGCATAGCTCTCCCACACTTAAAACGGTTGATTAACTGCCCACTGCCGTATTTAAATTAAAGACTTATTGAACAAAGAAGATTGAAGAGAGAAGACTTATTAAGGGCAGAGATGCACATATAAAACTTTTTACAAATTCTTTTTGTTAATGGGACAAGCTCGTCAAAGCCTCCAGAATCTATTTATGTCTTATATTCCATGTAATCTATTGACAAACTCTATCAAAACATCCAATAATACTAAGCCTGACACAGAAACCGTACCCGAGACCTCATTGGCGTCATATCAGAGCTGTGCTTGTGACCACTTTATCAAAATGACTATGATCATGATGAATATGATCCATCTTCATATAAAGGAGGTTCTATACGTTTGCCTTTTTTCCAATGATATAGCTAGACAGATAGTGTAATTCTTAAGATAATAAAGAATTTTGAATTTGAATAAGCGTCGTGGTGGCCCTAAGGTTTAAGACGCCCGCTCATGCATGAGGGTGCGAGCTCGAAACCTACCAACAGCAAATACCAATGTGACCTTTACCAAGTTATATGTACTCTCTAAGATTATCTAGACACCACTGACAAACGGTGAAGGATAACATCGTGAGGAAACCTGAGCTTATAATTGCTAATTATAAGTTTGTAATCGCGGAATCGCCAACCCGCATTGAGCAAGCGTGGTGATTAATGCTCAAACCTCGGTGTGAGAAGAGGCTTTACGGAATTCAATAAAAAAAATACAAAAAACTGAACAATGGCGATTTATTTTCAGTATTTGTTTAAATCTACTAAGTG